GTTAACAGCGCCGTGGCCTCCCTGGTGGGAGCCTGGCCCACCCCAGAGCCCAGCCCGATAACCGCCGCACAGGCACGTGAGTGTGGAGTCTCCGGGCAGCCTCGCTCTCGTCTCTACACGCAGGCTGCTGGCTCAGTCCCAGCCGCCCCCATCGGGTCATGGTCTTCCTCTGTATTTGCTGCCTTACTCTCTGGCCCGGTGTTTGCTGTGCCGCAGAAACATGTCCCCCCCCCCCCCCCCGTGGAACCGTGCAAGTGACGCATTACGTGGCCTGTCCACTCACGTCCTCTCTCCTCTGCCCTCCTGCCCTGCCCCTCCCCGCACTACTGGCGGCTTGGCTGCAGGCGGGGACATGATCAGCAAGATGCTGAAGATGCAGCTGCTGGAGGACGAGGACGACCTGGCCTACGCCGAGGCCGAGAAGAAGGCCAGGGCCGACTCCACGTCGGACGGGCGCCCCGCCTGGATGCGGACCCTGCACACCACCGCGTCCAACTGGCTGCACCTCATCCCGCACACGCTGAGCCACCTCAAGCGGACGGTGGAGAACATCAAGGTGGCCGGGAGCAGGCCGGGCGGCCCCCGGGTGTGCACGGTCCTGGCGGGCTCGGGGCAGTCCCAGCCAGCGGGCGTCTGCGCCCGGGCTCCGGCACGAGGGCGGGCCCCTCGCGGGGGCGGGGGGGGTGTCTGCACGAGCGACGCAAGGGGGTCTCCAAGGAAGTGGCGGCGGCTGCCATTCCTCCTCATTGGGCAGGGTTCCCAGAGCGAGCGCGGGAGAAAGCGGGGAGCCTCGGGCCGGGGGGCTGTGAGGTCCCGCTGGAGGAGGGGCTCTTCCTAAAGCCCCCTCTTCACTCGGGCCTTCTCCTCTCTTGGACAATCGTAGGATCCTCTGTTCAGGTTCTTTGAGAGAGAAGTGAAGATGGGAGCTAAGTTACTTCAGGACGTTCGCCAGGACCTGGCAGATGTCGTCCAAGTGTGTGAAGGGAAGAAAAAACAGACCAACTACCTGCGTACCCTTATAAACGAGCTGGTGAAAGGTACCGGCCCTCCCGTGTGCGCCCCCTCACTGCGCGGGGGGCACGTGGCCGCTGCTCTGCGGGGTCAGCCTGTCCCTTCTGCGCCCACGTCCCTCTGAGAGCAGCCGTGGGCCCTTTCCCGGGGGCCGGGCTCAGAAGGGCCCGAGAGGTTTTATTTGCCGATTCCCTGAACGTTTATTAAATCTTTACAGTTTTTAGGGGAGCGGGCAGCACATTAAAAAGGGGGGTGCTTGAGTCTAAAAGTACAGAGAGCCCCCAGGGGCCTCCGATCCACCCCAAGAGCCTGAATTGGGGTGAGGCACAGCTGTTGTGTGAGGGGAGTTAGCCGCTGAGGCATTCCTTTGGGGGTGATTGTGGTCCTCCAGACATCCCCCCCCCGCCCAGTTACGCTGGATGGGCACATGCAGAGCTGGAGGCGGCCCATCCGGGACCTGCGAGGTGTGGTCAGGGAGGGAGGCGGGCGGAGCAGAGAAGCCGCGGAGCGCCACACTGACCCGTGTGCGCCTGGGAGTGGTCAGAACTGACGCTGCCTGGGGTCACCTTGCTTGCAGGCATCTTGCCTCGGAGCTGGTCCCACTACACCGTGCCCGCGGGCATGACCGTCATCCAGTGGGTGTCCGACTTCAGCGAGAGGGTCAAGCAGCTACAGAACATCTCCCAGGCAGCTGCGGCCGGTGGTGCTAAGGAGCTGAAGGTGGTGAAGGCCGCTCCTCGGGAGCCTGGGGGAGGGGTTGCAGCTGTCTGGGCAGGGGAGGGGCAGCACCCGGGAGCTCAGGGGACTAGCCCAGACCCCAGCATGACCCGAGAGAAGGGGTGGTGCCCGCTTCTCACCGTGGGGGGGGCGGGCGCTGCTTCCCACAGAACATCCACGTGTGTCTGGGCGGCCTGTTTGTCCCCGAGGCGTACATCACCGCCACCAGGCAGTATGTGGCCCAGGCCAACAGCTGGTCCCTGGAGGAGCTCTGCCTGGAAGTCAACGTCACCACCTCCCAGAGCGCCACTCTCGATGCCTGCAGCTTTGGGGTCACGGGTGAGTTGGGGTCCTCAGCCACTCTGGGCTGCTCCCTAAGGCTCCCGGTCCCTACACTCGGGCCTTCTCACGGGTGGTCCTGGTGGCCCTTCCAGCAGCGCTCCTGATCAGGTGTATCTGAGGTGACGGGTGGCAGCACGCCAGAGCCGTGCACTGCGGCACAGTCGCACGGCCGTTACCACTGGTGACGGGGCCTGACTTCTTCCGGCAGGGCTGAAGCTTCAGGGGGCCACATGCGGTAACAACAAGTTGTCGCTGTCCCACGCCATCTCCACGGTCCTTCCTCTGACGCAGCTGCGCTGGGTCAAGCAGACTAACGCCGAGAGAAAGGCTAATGTGGTAAGTGGCCCCTTCCGCCGTCTGGGGTCGGCGGGTGCCGTGTGCCCGCCCCCTTCTCCCCTGCGTGCAGCCTGGCGCCAGGGCCGCTGTCCGTCTCTGCCTGAGCCAGCGGCGAGCCCCTGTCCTCTCCTCTAGGTGACCTTGCCCGTCTACCTGAACTTCACCCGGGCAGACCTCATCTTCACGGTCGACTTCGAGATCGCCACCAAGGAGGACCCGCGCAGCTTCTACGAGCGCGGCGTCGCCGTCCTCTGCACGGAGTGAAGCTCGACTCCCCTGACTCCCCTGTCTCTAGTCGTAACTCTATTTAATGTCTCTTCATCGTTCGACTGGTGGGAAGAAGCAGACTTGCCAGAGTCGTCGGTGTGCGGTCGGAGGAAGCGGAAGGCAGGCTGCCGGCCGGGATGGTGGCGGCTGGAAGGACTCCGCGAGGTGCCTCAGGAGCGTCCGTAGCACGGCGTGTTCGGGGAATAAAACACTAAGCACGACCCGGCCTCCTGCCTCTTCTGTCTCCGCTCCCCTCCCGGCGCCGAAACTCTGGGCCCGGGGCCCCTCCCCGCACGGAAACGAGCCCCGGGCCCTGACCGGGCAGCGCGTGCGCCGTTGTGCCGAGGGCCTGGCCCCGGGGCCCCCCGTCCCGTGTCCCCCACATCCCAGGGCGGCAGCTGCTGACCGCCGGCTGTTCACACTCGACGTGATGCGTGTGGTCTCCCTGGGAAAACAGGTGTCTGGTCTTTGCCTTGTGGCGGCAGCCCCTATGGTTAATCAGCCACCGACCCGGCCTTAGCATAGACCCCGTGGTGAAAACCCGTTTTCCTGCAGCTGCGCCCCGCCCCCCAGCCAAGTGATGATTTAGGGCTGAGGGGGGGCTTAAGCCCCCGCCCCTGCCCCCCCCACCCCAACCACTTCTGAGGAGCCATGAGGCTCCACACGTCCCCAGCACCCGGGAGCCAGAGTCCCCCGCCTCCCCACGCGGTTCTGGAATGTTCTGTCAGGAATCTAAATGTTTTTCTCAGAGCCAATAAGGATTCTTAGCTTTTCTGCAGCGAGATTCCTAAATGGGGCTGTAGGCTCTGAGAGCTGGGACCAGGCCTGAGGAAGTAGGAGGAGGAGAACCCACAGAAGGCCACTGTGGGCATCTGTCCCGCCCTACTTCCCGTGCCCAAGTACAGGTGAGGGTCCTGAGCACAGGAGGAAGGATGCCATGGGGGAGGGGGGAGAATGCAGAGCAGGGTCCTGAACGGGGGAGTGAGCAGAAGCCGCTGCAGCTACTGGACATCCAGCACCTTGCCAGGGGGGTGGGGGCAGGGCCCCCCCGGCCCAGGTCTGGGAGGGAAGCTCCCTGGTCAAGGGCTTCCACGTCCACCCCACAGGCACGCCCGAGTCACCTACTTGCTACCTCCTAAAGCCCCATGTGAATCAGTGCCTGGCTCCAGGGAGCCTCGCCCCCACACGAAGCTCAGCCCATGGGGCCTAAGGGATCCCCCACCTCTGGGGCCACCCATTCACCATCCTGTTGTGGGGGCAGGCTGGACAGTGGCCATAGTCCTCCTCATCCTCAGTGGGCAGAGCCAGCAGACGGGCCAGGGGGCCCCCAGGGCGTGAAGAGAACACCTGCACCCAGGCCCGCTCCCCACCCCCCACCCCCGCGCCCCGCCCACCAGGAGGAAGAAGCAGCTCTTGTCCTCCGGCGGGCTTCCCCTTTATTGGCACTTGGGAACAGCGCAGTCGTGGGGCGAGTGGGCAGCGGTCACCCAGCGCTGGCACCAGACTCGTGCTCAGTTCATGCCTGCTAGGGAGCAAAAGGTCCAGTAAGCAAACCCCCAGCAACTGGGAAAAGGGTAAGAGCCACCACCACCACCCCGTTATTTTTAACTATCTGCACATCAAGACCATGATCCTGTCAACAGAGCCAAAACCAACCCCTCAGAAAATCCTCACCTTGTACGGACAGTGACAGAGGAATGGAAATAGGGACATCGTGCAGGGTGGCTTCTCAAGATGCGGGGGCAGGGGACAGAGCAATTCACCGAGAATCGGACACGCCGCCCCTCTACCCCCCCACTCCCACCCCCAGAGCAAACATTCAGGTAGGGTGGACAACAATGGGCACCAGGAGTCAAGGTTTAAAAAAAAAAACACTAATTCTATGGAAACATAAATATTTAGTAAAAGTAAATTCTCGGATTCAGGGGAGGTGGGCTCCATGAGAGCCACACAGGACCTTTCCTCAGCAGGAAACCCTTTTTTTTTTTCTTAGATTTTATTTATTTACTTGAGAGAGAGAGAGCACATGAGAGGGGGGAGGGTCAGAGGGAGAAACAGACTCCCTGCCGAGCAGGGAGCCTGATGCGGGACTCGATCCCAGGACTCCAGGATCATGACCTGAGCTGAAGGCAGTCGCTTAACCAACTGAGCCACCCAGGCGCCCGGAAACCCATTTTTAAGCAATGCTGGTGGGCCCCCAGGTGTTCATTATTTAAGACCTGAAAAGGGCAAGTGTTCATGGAACCAAGTCCATCAGCGTTAGCTTTGGCCAAGGGGCTCCTCTCGGGGCGTTAGCGCCCCCTCCTGAGCTAACGGCTCACCTTGGTCTAGGCCACATACTGCTTCTTTCTCTTGTTTTTCTCAGGCTCTGCAAGTAAAAGTTCCAGTTTCCTCTTGGAGAGGGTGAGCTTGGGCCCCTTGTCCTTCTCACTCCCAAGTCTGGCAGGCGGCCGCGCCGCCCTGGCTCGGCCCTGCGCGTGTCTGCCAGGCTCCGGGGGCCCCGCGGCCGGGACGACGGGGCCGGCTGCCCTGGGCCACCGGTCCTCCATCATCCTCCAGTCCTCCGGCGACCCAGAGCGCCTGGCTGCCCGCCCTCGGGCCTCAGGGCTGCTGGCCTCAGCGGGCTGCATATCCACGTCACTGGCCTCCGGGGATGTGGGGCCCCAGCTGGTAGCTTCCAGGAGGGGGTCTGGGGCTTTTGATGAGAGAGGGTCTTCTAAGCCAACTTCTCCCGGACTCCTGCACCTGAGGGCGTGGGAAGGCACAGTACCGTTCGCGGCACCCGGAGAACAGTCGCTGAAGCTGGAGGCTGGACGACCGGGGGGATCTTCTGAATCGCCATCAGAAGGGTCTAAAAACTGAGCGCAAAACTATTCCTGAGCCAGTTAGCAATTTCTACCAGGATAAAGTACAACACACTCCTCACATGAGCAAATTACTTCTTCCATCACTGATGTTGGCAAACTCTGCGGATCTGCCTTGGAAATGCCTTAGACAGGTGGCATCTGGGGGACACAGTTGAGCGCCCCACTCTTGGTTTCAGTTCCAGTTGTGATCTCAGGATCATGGGATCGAGCCCCGCGACGGGCTCCGCACTCAGAGCAGAGTCGGCTTGTCTCCCTCTCCCTTCCCTAACCTCCCTAACCCTAACCCCCCAATAAATAAATATTTTTAAAAATGCATTAGACAAATACCCCCTCACATCCAAAAAGCCCGAGGGTCTGCCATCACTGGCGGCCCAATCTGGGTCCCATCACTTAAAGCCCTCGTCTCAGAGCTGGGCACCGGCCCACCAGCTGGGTCCACACCACCCCGCCCACCACTGCGGAGTCTGAGCTCACTTCCTCCCAACATCCGGCTCCTGGCTCGCCCCACCCCTCCCTGACCGGGTGTGCACAAACGTGCCCCTCACTGCACGCCACCCCCACTCACAGCTGCCCCAGCAGCCCGCAGAGGCTGAACTGAGCTTTTAGGTGCAGGGTTCACGGTTTTCAAAGGTGCCCGTGGGCTGTGCCCCTTGTCTGAGCACCAGGCGCAGGTGGTACAGCCCATCCTCCACGGCAGCCTCTTACCTCTGTGACCACTGGCCGAGGGGCCCGTGGAGCTTTCTGGACCTTGAGTCCCGTGGCCCCTCGCCCCTGACCTTGTACCCGGATTTCCTAGCTCTTACTTCAGCTTTTCCCCTTCCTGCGTTGGTGCTCTTGACTGAGCGGCTCTGGCAGCAAAGGTCTCCAGGGACGTCTGAATCCCCGCAAACGACCGCTGTCCCTTCCTGTGCTAACTGCGGGGAGCTGCACCCCACCAACCTCCAGTCCCAGGCTCAGACCTCCTCCCAGATACGCTAAGGGCCCCGAGAAGACCAGGAACCTGTCGGGTTGGCCTCCAGGGATGTGGGGGCCCCAGCGGGCAGGGATGACCGGGCTTCACGCCTCAAAGAGCCACAGGCCGAAAGGGCCCAGGGCTGAGCCAGTGCAGGGAGCCCAGCGCACTTCACGTGGGCAGTGAAAACCTGCCGGGGGTGCTCATTTCTTCCATGGGCAGACGACACAGTTATGTATGCCCCCCCCAGAAAAAGGTAAAAATGAAAAATAGTTTCACACCATAATCTGAAGGCAACTCTAATATTTCAGATTCAGAAACCGGCAGAATTGTTGGAATTCACGGAGCCAGCACCGTGTGACCCCACTGCACAGCAGTCAGCAGCCCCCCGAGGCCTCGAGGCCCAGACTAGGGGTGCGTGTAGGAGAGGGCAAGGTGCTCACCCTGCAAATAAACCAACAGTGTCAGTCCTTGTAGACCGAGAGAGGCCCGGCAGGACAGGCGTTCACCCGCCACAACGGTTGGGGTTAGAACCTTACCCAGGGTCTCAAAAGTCCGCGAGACCAGGTGTTAACTACACCCGGGTTCTTGATTTCAATTTGGACTGCAGTTAATGTTGAGGAGCCACTGGCCAGCTCACTGTGGAGCCTAGGCTCTTGATCTTGGGGTCGGGAGTTCAAGCCCCACACTGGGTGTAGAGATGACTTAAAAATAAAATCTTTTGGGGCGCCTGGGAGGCTCAGTTAGGTGAGCATCTGACTCTTGATTTCAGCTCAGATCATGATCTCAGGGTCGTGAGATCGAGCCTCGTGCCAGCTCTGTGCTCAGCGGGGAGTCTGCTTGAGAGTCTCTCCCTGCCCCCCCACCCGCTTGCGTGCGCACACACACTCTCTCTCTAAAAATGAATAAGTCTTTTTAAAAAATAAAATGGATTCTTCAAAAACTAATAAATTAATTTTGAGATTAAATGATTGCAAACTTATGGTCTTGTCAGTCTTCCAGGCAAACAACTTTGAGTCTTTTTCTTATTTAAAAAATCTGAGGGGCGCCTGGGTGGCTCAGTTGGTTAAGCGACTGCCTTCGGCTCAGGTCATGATCCTGGAGTCCCGGGATCGAGTCCCGCATCGGGCTCCCTGCTCAGCGGGGAGTCTGCTTCTCCCTCAGACCCTACCCCCTCTCGTGCACTCTCTCTCTCAAATAAATAAATAAAATCTTTTTAAAAAATGTTTAAAATAAATAATACATAAAAATTAAAAATCTGAGAGGCGCCTGGGTGGCTCAGTCGGTTAAGTGGCTGCCTTGGGTTCAGGTCATGGTCCCAGGGTCCAGGGATCGTGCCCCTCATCGGGCTCCCTGCTCAGCGGAGAGTCTGCTTCTCCCTCTCCCACTCCCCCAGCGCATGCTTTCTCTCTCTCTCCCAAATAAAATCTTTTAAAAAATGTTTTTTGAAAAAGGAAAAATCAATTTAAATATCAAAGTGAAGCCTCTTCTAAAATACAGTAACTCCAGTCTTTCCCTGCAGAAAAGAGCAAAGATGGCAGGCCCCAAACCACTCTCCTTGGAAAGGCCCTACTTGCAAGGTTGGCCCCTGGCTGGTTCTGGGGACTTGGATTCAGGGATGAAGCCACCACCCCTAAAGGAGGAGAATGGTGGCTGGCTCATTTTGTCACGTACCTCTCTCCAGATACCTTCAATTAAGTCCATGTGGTTCTTTTTGTGATTGGCCTGGGAAAGTTTAAAAAAAAAAAAAAAAGGCTGAATAATCCTTTCTAGAAAGGCAGGCAGGCAGGCAGACAGCCGCTCCGTGTCCAAAGGCCAGGGACCGAGGGAACCCACTCTAGCAGTTCCCGCCACGCCGGACCCTCAGAGGATGGCAGCCCTTGGGGGTGGGCGAGAAGCACCTCCTCGGTTTGAGGGACTAAAATGCAAACCTGGCTACCATGAATAGGAAAAGTAGAACCAGGAATGCGGCAAGGAGGCAGATTCGGCAGCTGGATGTGATCCCCTTCACATCGGGGATGGAGAACCCTGCACTCGTTCTAAACCCAAAGCCAGAAGATCACGGAAGATCCTAGATCATCCATCCTAACCCCTTCCTTTACAGCGGCTGAGGCCAGACAACGGCCAGGCCTTGCTAGGGGGCCCTCCAAGAACCCGGGGCTGGTATCAGATGTTCTAGAACCCTCCCCACTAATCCCAGGCTGCTGGGGGAAAGCAGCTCTTTTTTCTTGATCAAAAGACAGGAATTTGAACATGTCTACTTGACGGGAAGAAAGCCCCATAAAGATTTTGCCAAGAACCCACTGAGATTACTATTTCCAAGGAGGGGTGCGGGCCCAGAGCCAGGATGCCTGGTCTGGGACTCTCAGGGTCTCCCTGCCCTGCCCGCCCCGGCACCACCAGGAGGGCAAGGGGCGGCCCGGGGGGAGCACCTTGAAGCAATGGAGTGTGGTTCTCTGCCTCTTCCGGAAGCCGGCCCCGGCGCTGGCAGAGCTGAGCGCTGCCCTGATGCAGGCGGGTCGGCCGTGCCTCAGGCCTGCCATGGCTGGGGGGCCGGTTATGATGAACTTTTCACTTCACTGAAAAACATCAAGTTCACGGGGACAAAGCACAGGTCATGGGTGGCTGGGGTGGGGGAGGGGCAGCCCCCCAGGGCGGGCGGCGGGCGGGAGGGCGTCTCCGGGAGCTGGCTGGCCGGCCCGCGGGTTGCGTTCGTCCAAGTCAGAGCTATGTGCCCCAGGGCTGTCTTGCGGGTTCTACCTCACCTAGACCAATCTACGGGGTTCTCAAAAAATGTTTTCGTTAACCCCCCGGGCAGCGTGGGAATCCAGCCCGCGAGCATTACGTCAGCGTGGGAAAAGCCCTGTACACCCAGAAGCTCCGTCTACACGAGCTCAGTGGAAAGGTCACACATTCATTGAGCCTGAAAGTTCCAGACTGGAACCCACCCACCCAGCTCAAATGTCCTTCCCCTTTATTCTAACAGATGAAGCATGTGAGCCCAGGATGGGGACTGACTCACTCCCCCAAAGGGACAAACACAGGAAGCTTCCCCGCCCCCCCAAGTGTGAGGTTTAAAAAAAAAAAGCAACATGCAGGGCGCC